TAAAGTTGTAGTTAAATTGCTCCCATTTATGTGGCCAGTGGAGACGGGAGTGTGTAATGAAATGATTGCCATTGCCCCGGATCCAAAATCCGAATCTCTGGCAGTTGCGCTTATCGCAGTCGCACAGCCCCATAGATTTTCTGGCAATGAAGCCTGTCACAAATCCGGCAAAAAGAGCCCCGACACTGCACATTGTAATTAGCCATGGCAGCAGACATACGTATCTCTAAAATGCCAAAAATTAAACGCTTCGCTAGCACAAAACAAAGGCACTGAAATGCGGGATTATTTAGAATTAATATCAGTCGAGAGCATTATATTTGGCAATTGAAATGGCAAAACGGCAGTTTGACATGAATAGCCTGCAGAGCAAAAATTACTTTGAGATTTATTAAACAAATGACTAGACGAGTGAACTTCTACACCCAAAAAAAACTCGATATGAATCGTAGGTCAATTTGACCTTTATTAAGATCATTTTTAACTTGATATGGGGCCAGGTAAATGTGATATGTTCGAAATGTAAAAATCTTATTTCTGACCAAAACGTACACTAGTGCGAGCGAGAAAACATGCTTTTGAAGTACGTCAGTTCGAATTTCGAATCAGTCTTTCTCGCTTCCACTCATGTCATTTTGCTCGCCATATTGATTCTTGCGCTCTTTTTCGAAGTTAGAGAATCTCCGAGAGAGAGAATTCGGCAAAATGATATTATTTAATGTAAATTTTATGAATATTTCAGGTAAAAACGATATGAGTAGGAATAACCAAAAAATTACCTGGACTTATCGATTTTACGGCGACGTGCTTTTTTTTGTGTGTATGTTGGCCAAAAAGATTCTACTACCCACCTACCTACACTAAGATTTAAGCTCTTCATTGTAAGAACTTACCTTTGGCCTGTACAATTTTAAAACACTGTATTGAATTTCAAATTCTTAGGAATTTCTCTTTTTCTACATTCAAACTTGTGAAATACAAACTCATATTACTTTCCTATGACATTTTAAGCCAGCTAACTTTGAGGTTCAATTAACAAATAACTTGCCAGAAATATCTTAATAAGCCAGCTTTTCTACTCCACCCTTTGCAGGCAGCACTGATGAAATGATAAATTCTGTAATAAACGCAAACTAAAATGCTAACCTCAGTCTGGTGAGGTCGGAGAACTGCCAAGTGCTGGGGCTTAGTTAATGGCTCCTGTTTTCTACGGAACCGAACAGGAATACTTCATTCCTGGAATGCTTGCCATTCAAATGGCAAAACTAATGCCGCTCGAAGCAAGCTGGAAATTTTTGACATGCCTTTTACATTTCCAACAAGGATCTCATCTCCCTGTTCCCCCGGCCTCCTGCTTCCTTCTTTACTTCCGCGGCCAACTTGGGAACTTGGGAGCTCGGAAGCTTGGGAGCTTGGGAGTCGAGTCCCAGAGACGACCTCCTGGCAGCATGTTGGCAACCCGGCCGTCAGTCTGTCATATTTCCAAGTCTTATAAAATATATTCACAGTCTGCGCATATATATTGTGTGTATTTCTAACTGGGCTCCCTGCCCGTCTTTTGTTTTGTGCGTTTTTAGTCGTGTGTTTTTGTTTCTGTTTTTGTTTTTCCCTCGCTGTGGCAACATATTTCACTGCATAATTTCCTAGCTGATGTGACTGCTGCCCTCTCGTTCTGCCTCGCGCAACACAACGCATGCAAATGACAACAGCAACATCACGAGCGACAAAAACACGCAACACTAAAAAAGTTGACAAGGGGCAAGCCGCAACAAACGTCTAACTGACAGTTGTCGTTGGGTCCCACTATCTATGAAATATTCTAGAGGGTATATCGAATATTGTCAAAAAAGAAGAGTGTTTCGGAAATGGGAGTTTGACAGGAAATAGCTTTGGTAATATTCATTTTCTATTCCATTTTTATTAAAACATCATTTACTTGTAATTAGAATCTTGGTATATTCTTATATCATATATGCATTTGCAAATTGCGATAGATTAACTGTACTCACACATTGTAACTTGAAAATTCTAACTTATAATACTTATATTTTCTGACAACATTATATCACAAAATGATCACTAGTTACCCAAAATAATTTACGATATTATCATGTATATAATGTGTGACCTTTGTTTTCTATTTTGTTTCTCCTTTTGGTTTTACTTACCGCAACACTTGCTCATAAATCAATCAAATTTCCCCCACATATTAGCTTACAGGATACAAAGTAGTCGCGTTTCTCACAAAAACCTGTAGCCTGGCAACCATTTTTTCTGCTCTATGCTTGGCTTGTTATCATTTTTTAATAACATTGTTGCGCACAGCGGTAAAATTTGCATAAAACACACAGCGGGCGACTGGCGACGGGACATAGAAAACGATGGAGAGCGGCTGAGGGAATCGGGAATTGGATTGAGGGACTGGGAAGTGGGAAATGGGACGTTGGACAACATGTGGTATGAGTAATTTCTGGCTTAAGCACAAGAGAACGTGCTTTATGATTGCGCGTGTGTTGGTGTGTGTATGTGTGCGTGAATGACGCGTTGGAATAAAACAATTTTCATACAAATTCCGTGCATTTGCATAAATTTCATGCACTCCGGACGTGGCGATGTCGTCATTTTCATTTTCATCTACTTAGCAAAGTGTGCTGCAATTCGAGGCGGATCCAGGGGCGGGAGGAGGTACAGGTGGGCGTGGCCGGGCGTGGCGTTTCTGATGAAGGCATCGGAGCATGACACTTAAACTGACGAGGATAGGGTATCTAGGGGCCCATTTCCGGGACATCCCATTCCCATCCTCCGCTTTCACACGCCTGTAAAAGTTTGCGGTACAACTTTTTTTGTCGCTTTGGCAATAATCATAAAATTTCACTGCATATGAAACAAAAAACCATAAAAGCGGCAGGGAAAAAGGAGCAGAAGAAACGTGATTGCAGCATAAAAGCGTCATTTACATGCCGTTGTCGTTGTCGCTGCACTTGCATCACTCGTCCTGCCATCCCGATGTCCTTTTAGGAGTGCCGCCATTTGCGCATGCGTCGCAAACTTTTCCGTTTGCCATTTGCCGCCTCAATAGTTCCCAGTGTTTTCCTCGAACCCCGCCCCACGGCTTTATTGAGGTTTTGTTTAAGCTTTTAGCGTAGTTTCCATTTTTTGGGTGGGGAATGAGAATGGGGATGCTGGGTACTGGCTACCCATGCCATGCCATTTGGCCAAAAAAAAACTTTTTTCGGTCCTGTGTTTGGCCGGCAGCATTTTTGCAATTAGGCAACTGTTCTATACGAGAGTACATTTCTTTTTTACTTTTCTTTTAGTTTGCCAAATGCAATGGAACTTTTCATTTTCGGCCACAGTTGCAGAGTTTTCATTGCTAATAGCATTCGACACACACAAATTCACATTCGCACACAGAGGGACAGAAATTGGTGCGTAATTGAGACCGAATGTAAAGGCCATAACAGCCTTTTGAGAGGGTTTTTTTTGTATTTGGGAAATTTTGAAGAGGAATATTTATTAAATTATGAGTGGAAATTCGCATGGGAAAAATTATTTAATTGGATATGCTTTTTTTCAAGGGAATACCAGACAAATATTTCATTTGATAACGCTCAGAATGGCTGCAATTTAATGGACTACCATTTCAAGGTTTTATATTTAAATTGGAAACTTTATGGATATTAGTAGGTATGTCTTGTGCAAAAAGTCTTGCCAATTATTTGACGTCGTTACGCTCCGAAAAGTATACCATGCCGATGAGTGTTATATCGTAAATTGTAGAAGTTTAATAATCTAAATTACAGTCGCTTGTCAAGAAAACTAAGGCATTAAAATATTTCAGATTTATTAAACCATTGATTAATTTAAAATTTTATTCAAAGCAACAGCTGTTAAATACCGTAGTAAATATGTTGTTTATTTTTGTAAGTTCGCAATAGATATGTTTAAAGAATTAATATAAAATGATCGCCCAAACTAAATCAGCTGGACTTTAAAAATTAATAACCGGAACGATACTTAAAAAGCACCTAGTTAATTGCAAGGCGAATAGACAACGGTCTTTATTTGGAACCGTTTTCAACACGCACTTGGTGTTTAATGCCGTATAATAGTTAACGGGCAAATGGGGTCCTAGAATCTTTGCGAAATTTTCTGGAATTATCTTATCGTTAACGATAACATTCATTTTATCATACATGCAGCGCAGGTAGCAGTTTAATTTCGGGTTAAGCAATTTAAATGAGTCCTTATTGGCGTACGAAGACACCTCCTTTTCACACTGTTTTCTTACGACCTCCTGTTGGATATAAGATTAAAAAAATCAAAGTATTATACCAGGATACAGGTTTTTGTGCAGCACGTGCATCCGCCCTCAAATTATACATACGCACTTTATTTAGTTCAGCACCTACAAAACACAAACCAATTACAATGATCAGTACTTTCATTGTCGCGAGTTTATAGCTCAAAAATGTGTCCACTATTGAAGGCACGGCCTTTATGGCATGGTATTTATAGCTTATTTTTGTTAAATAACAATAAGGGTTTAATAACCGTGTTAATTTGTAAAAATAATGAATTTAAAATAAATACTTTGTGTTTACCGTCCAGTTCTCTCTCTCTCTCGTGGCCGAGATTCTAGTGCTTCCTCGATCGATCTATTCCAGGGATATCAGATATGTTCTAGACTTGCGTCCAATTTTGTTTTTAAATTGTCAATAATGAAAATACCTACTTTTGTAGTTTTCGAGATCTCAGCGTTCATACAGACGGACAGAAGGACATGGCTATTTCGACTCGGCTAGTGATTCTGTTCAAAAATATATATACTTTATGGGCTCGGAAACTCTTCCTTCTTCCTGTAACATACTTTTGCACGAATAATAAAGGGTATATTCCTTTATTCCTAAAAGTAACGGGTATAACTATATAGCAAACGGAATTAAAAGTCCTACGTAAAGGGAGCTAAACATTTTTCTTTTTTAAAATTTGATAAAAAATTTTCTTTTGCATTTTTAAAATATGATAGTCTTTAATAGTAAATCCAATTTTCAAGAATAGGTATCGGATATGATATGCACTCATATAGCTCATATGCGATTTTGCAAGGGTCCTTCTTAGATAAAACCTTGCTGCACGATTTCATTATTTTTGTGAACTCGTTTTTAGAAAATTTGGTCCCTACGGCCTTTCCGAAATTTTCGGGAATTGTCCGTCCATTAACTACAACCTTCATTTTTTTTAAATAGCAATGGAAGGAGCACATGAATTTCCGGTGGGGAGGATAGGATGTTATAGATTTAAGCAACTGATCGTTGCTCAATCGCACTTCTTTTTGACACTTCTCCCAGACATCTTTCTGTTGGTTAAAAATATGTTGTATTAAAAATAAAATCAGTGGCGAATGAAGGATGAAGCAGCCTATGAATTATACATACGTACTTTTAGCGGTGCAACACCGACGAAACCCAATAAAATAAGGAAGGCCAAAAGCTTCATTCTCGCATCTGGTAGCTCAAACATATATGCCCAATTGATGTTGGTACTTATATCTTGCAAGATTATTTCATACTATTAATAGTTTAAAACCCGTGCCGTTTCTGTTTTAAATAAATTGTTATGTATTATATTAAACCGTTCAGCGATTATTCTTCATAGTGTTGAAATACGACTATTTCAGTAGTCATATTTTCAGCTTGTAGAAGTTACTTTTCTTTCAAGCCTTTTTCCATATATTTAAGGTTTCATGCAGGGACCGTAAATAACAGTTATTTGAGACTTTTATTTTAATAGGTCTACTGAGATTTGTTTAATTTTTTATCAACAATTTTACTGGTTTTTATGCACTTTATAGACATGGACAAATAGCAGTTAATTTGCTTTACAGATTTGTTGAAATGCATATGCTTTGTGGACAAGAGTAAAAAGAGTGTTATTTTTGACAGTTTAAAACAAAATATCACAGTGGTCTTTTTAAAATAAAAGTCTCAAATGACTGTTACTTGCGGTCCCTGGTTTCATGGGCTTCAAAGTATTAAAGGTCTGTATGTGGGTTATTACTCATACATAATTCCTCACCTACCTTCAGTTAGACATCAAGAATCTCGTATCGGCCTGTGTAATCTATTTGCTTGTTGAACTTGTGTTTGGCACTTCATTCCATTTAACGCTAAGCAAGCGGAAGCCTCATCAATATGATGGTCGTGTCGCATTATCAAACGTATTTATTTGGCAAACAGCAAGATGCGAGCGGAGAACAGGACGATGGGGGAATGTCGGGGCACAAAGATAAACTAAGACGCTCTTATCGCCCGAGATGAAAGAAAAGAAGAACGCCGAGGGAATTGCCAAGGATACGGGATATTCGGGGCAGGAACAAGAGGAGGAGGTGGACATTGCGGATACAAAAATATTGCGCACGTTGACAGCTTAACGTACATAATTAATGTGACAATCTAACGGAATGCTCGTGTCCGTGTGCTTGTGTGGACATTAATATATGGGCATTGGGCCAGATAAACATGTTGCCAAAATGATCAGCCCGGCACACAATGGCACACACATTCGGGCCACAAATGACGGGGCCGACATTAATTACGGGCTGGCCCGAAAACAAAAGCCCTGACTGCCTTCTGGCCAACGCAACTGCTCAACTAAAACCGCCAACTCATTAAAGGAGCTCTCAACTTGGCCGCAGCCAACTGGGCGTATGCGTGACGCGTGCTAAATAAATTGAGAGACAAACAACAAACATTAAAAGTTTTTATTGTCCAAATGCGTTCTCACCAAAAATATATAAATGTGCACATCCTCCTCGGCCACAAAAAGCATTAAATTACTTTATAATCCGTTTATAGCTTCGCCCGGAAGTGGTCCAGACTGCAAAACAAACAAACAAACGAACAAACAGGCAAGCAAACAAACAAACAGGCAAACACTCGGAGAACCGCCCCTTGGGAGGCCAGCTCAACAGCATAATCAAATCAAAGATTACGTTGAAACATTGAAATTACGTCTAGAGCAGAAAGCACTCATAGTCATAGGCACATGGACACGGAGACACCACCACACACAAGCCACACACGGACACATAGACACCCGCTGTCTCTTCCTCTTTCCCCATCCGTGTGGGCCAAAATTATATTGTTTTTTCGCCCGCACTCTCAACTTTTTGATACTCACGATATGGGTTGTGGGCTAGGTTTAGAAAATACATGTTCAAAAATATAAAAAATAATTTGTATATTTTTATTAAAACAGTGAGGAAAATATCCTTGAATGTTTTTAAATTCATACTATAAATAAAATAAAAAATTTAACTTTCAATTAATTTCTTAAATCTAATTTTCTTTGCTACCCGTTGTCATTGGGTTTTAATTAGATTTTGTTGAAAATAATTTATGCACAAACTTTTATGAAAGTTAATTTGATTACAAAAGATTCAATGAATCGACTATTTTATTATCAGTTGCCATTAATTACTCTTTAAAGCACTGGCAAAAATAATTGTAATGCATTTGCCACTTTTTGATTGTCTAGAAAAATATATTTTAAAACGCTGGTTTAAAATATAATTAACAAAACTAATTGCTTATCATAAGACCCAATAAATCCCCTGTTGGTATTATTTCTCTAAACCCATCTTAAAAGATAGTTTTTTAAACGCTTCGAGAGGATACAATTATCACAATTAATTGCTTTTCATGGGCTTAATAAAAACCCTTTTTGGTACCCATTACCACTTGGGTATTCCCCCGACCAGAACCGAAAAATTCGCTGGGTTGCCGCAAAAACAATTACAAACATAAAGCGAGAGGCTGTACAACTTTGACCCTGGGAAAAGTAAACAGCAAGAACTACGAAACTATGGGGCCCAAGCAGCAAAAAAAGCGGTAATAACTTTACTTCATTCATGCACACAAGGTGATTCGTGTGCCTGCGCACTCTCTCTTTCGCTCGGCTCTAGCTCTCTCCCTCTCTTTCGTCCTGTGTCCCTGTCTCTTTTCCTTTCGAAAAGCTGACAACCCTGCTGCAGAGCGTGTTACAGAGCCATGGCTTTTTATCAGTTGGCTCGCTGACTTTGTCCTGTGAACTTCGTCGCGCTCTAGAGTCCTGCGGAATTTTCACATTTTCCTCTGCTTCGGTGTGAGTGCTACGTGTTTTGTGCGCGCGTGTGTGTGAGTGGCGCCAAGTTTTTTGGCCTTAACTTTAACCACCAGTAAACAACAACAAAACAGAGACATTGACAAAAGAAAAAAGGAAAAAAAATAGAAAAAGGACACAGGACAACACAGCCTGCGGTCAGGGAAGCCGCAATCAAAAATTGTAAACAAACTCTGGAAATTGAGAAAAATCAACAAAGGAAGACGACGCCGCCAAGTAGGCAACAATTCTGCTGCTAGCCAACATGGAAATGGACGTTAATCGCCCGAATGGCCGCCATGGCAACCTAATGACCATATCCGCCCGCTGCTCGAATAACAATGCAGACGGAGGGCCGTTGGCAGGAAGTGAGGCAACTTCCGGTGTCCCGCCCAGCGGCTGTTGCGGCATCTTGAGCCGCCTCCTTTGTGTGAGCCGCCATAAGGCCACCCAATCGGTGGCGGGCAGCGATCCCTTCTCCCAGCTGCAACTGCAGCGAAAAGGGGCAGGAGGAGGAGGAGGAAGTGCAACTGCAGCTGCGACTTCCGGACAGCGACGACGCAGGACGCCGCAGGAAATCTACTTCGAGAGTCGCGGCAAGTCCTGCAAGAAGCTATTGAAATTCAATGGTAATTCCAACAAGGTGAGTCGAATGCTAAAGTCTAAGGGGGAATTTCAATGGGCTGGTGGCCGCACAAAAGAAATGGTGATTCTGCGAGATGCGCAAGAAATCCTATCTTTCGAACCCCATTGCATTCAGTGGCTTCAATTGACTTGATGTGGAATAATCAAGGATTGATTTCGGGCTGCTTTTAGTTTAAAAGTATTTGATTTGAAAGAGGAGAAAGCTGAACAGGCCAACCTACAATTTATTCGCCAAGAACTTTTTAACTTTAGCTTCAGAACTTGATATCATTTGGATGGTATAGGTAAATACCCAATTAAATTATCCTTGAAATTATCCTTGAGCAGATAGAATAGGTAGATAATTTATTTCCCGTTTGACCCAGTGCAGCTGCAATATCTTGAGAATAGCTCCTGCCTTTGTTGTATAGTAAAACAACTTAAGAGAATCCCAATGCTTATCGCATAATGGAACAATTCCCCTTTGCTCGCACATTGCAAACAATTCTAAAAGTGCATAAATTTTACAGTCTCCTAGTTACATTGTCATCTATTGCGAGGCAAAGACCCCAAAGCCGGAGCGCTGGCGCCAAAGTGCCATGAGCCATGAGCCATGGACCATGAGCCATGAGCCACGAGGAGCCACTCAACCGTAAGGTAGCCAATACCCTGGGGTCCTTTATCCCTCGTCCTTCTTGGGGGGCAACCCCACAATTATCCACGTGTGTGTATATGTATATACCGGTGTGAGTGTGTGTGTGTGAGCCTTTGTTATAAATTTTGGAAAATTTGTAGCCAAAGCTGCGGAGTGAAGTTCGCTCGATTGCTACCGGTTTGTTTGGTTTGGCCTAGGTAAAATGGGTATTGGTATGGGTAGAGGGATGGGAGAACAGGGCCAACACACACATAGTAGTGCTTATGCCACTTTGCATATAAATCATTTGGCATTGTGGCCAGAGCGCAATGCGCTTATGAAATATTTCGTTTGTTTAATGCGCCAAAGGACAACATTCCGCTCCGTTCCGTTCCACAGACTAAAGCTTCGGACCCACTTCCCTGCGATCGCTCCAAATTCCCACTAATTAAAAACGTGCAAAAGAAAAGCCAATCAAACAGGTCGATGCACAACAATGGTTGCGTGTTCCTTCTATTCCGAAAAACCCAGAAAAAGAGAGCTTCAATTATGCCACAGCACTGGACAAAATAACTGATAGACCAGACTATTGAAATGTAAACGTGACTTTCTTGAGTGAATATTGAAGATAATATATTTTAAAATCTGTTATTTAAAAATGATTAAATAATCCCAATGACTATCATCATTTAAAAATATTTCCCAAATTCTATGGATGCATTCATGTCTTAAACAACCATTAAACTATTATTTACTATCAGAATTAGTTTGCTTATTAACATGATAATATAGTTTAAATGTAGTTTAAATCTAAAAGATAGAAAAATCTCGAAACCCAGAGCTACAAATCCTGATTTTGTATTTAATATGAATTGCAATAGAATCTGAATATTAAAATTGTGCTGTTAAGCAGATAAAGGTATAATAAAAGTTCTTAAACTTTAAGCTTAAGTAAGCATGTTTGCTTTACCTCAAAGTTAACCATTAGAGATTCAACTATCATAACTCCGAATTTTACTTCCCGATTTTGCTTTCTCTGCATGAGTTTTTGTCTGAATCAAATGCACATTTGGAACACACACCACACCCTCACACTCCCACTCATCCTGCACTCGCAATCTGCAATCTGCTGGGCATCACGCACTGAAGCGCAAGCAACAGGATGAATTTGTTAAACAACACGAACACGAAGGATCTGCAGGAGCAGGACCCCGAAGATTGGGCAAGGGGTAGGGATAGGGGTACGGATGAGAGCGAGAAGTGAAAAATGAAAAACCCATTCGCCCTATCAAGTGACATCATCAATTTCAGTCTATTTTGCACACAGTCGACTTGTGGCCCTGGTCGTCCTGGTTGCTCTGGTCGTCCTGGCAGTGCAACAATGCCAAAGGACATTAACACCAATCCGTTGACAACGAGGAACCAGGTCCAGAGGAACTGAACGATGGAGACGTAGCCGTTCTGGGGGGCCCGCTTCCGTAGAATTCAATTCGGAAAGCTTTACTCGGTCATTGAATCAAGCGCTTTGAACGGCAGGACCTCCGCTCCTTTGATGAACAATCTGATTACCCCGTACTTGCGCCCTCAAAGGGTAGTTTACACTCTGTCCCCCCATCGATTTTATAATGAAGCAACGGGAATAGCAATAGCTTAGGTAAAACAACAAACTGTTTGTATACAGAATGAATGGTATCCAGTTGCAACCACCCAAAAAAGGAAATACGGAAACCACCCCCAGATGAATGTACCTACCTATATATATTTACGGATTCGGATAATGTTGCAAGTGAAATCTGTCGAGTGAAGTTTACCCTCTTAACCGAATGCGATAATGCTGTGAGATATATTTACATTAACAGCTTGGTTCGCTTTTGGGGGAAGGTGTCTCGCAAGTCAGGGAATATCAAGGCGTAAACGAATTCATAACAAATCGATAAAGTCAGAGTTTTTTAGAATTAACTTATCAACCACTATAGCTGATGCAATATCCTGTGCTCTCTAATCTGCACATTTAATTTTAATAGCCCTTTCTTTGCGCCGCTTAATTAGCTCCATAAGCACAAAGGCCAAGGCAATCAAGGACTGATGGAACTCAAAGAGCAGAAAGAGTATTATAAAAAAAATGAACGCTCTCTTGAAGCAAGGCGGAAGTGACTAGCCACTGTCCCCGCCCATTTTCCCTCCTTTCCAGCCCATTTCCCACCCCTCCGAATGTCCTTGTAAGCTGCTGCTGCTGCCTGCCTGCCTGCCTGTGAGTCCTGAATGCGCATACATATGCATAAAAAAGGAAGAAAATGCCATCAACATTGCAACGTTGTAATTGCCAACAGGCAATGAAGAGCCACAGCCAAAAGCAGGAGGCGGAAGGGGGCGGGGCCGGGCGGGGTAAGCACAGCAAACTGCCAACTGCCACATGTCCTGCCAGCTCAGCTCCAACAGAAAAAAAGAGGACCCTCCGCCTGGTCACTCACTGCTAACGAGGGTCACTTGTAAAATGTTCAATTAATAGGAGACCTTAAACAAGGAAACATCATTAAGATTATTTATCGGTTTAACTAGAACTTACATATTGAAAGGATGTGATGAAGAAACTTGAACTTGGACTTGAAAATATGTAATACAAAGCTATTTTAAGGATTCATTTCAGATCAAGTTTACATTATTTTGGAATTTAATGTGATATCCTCTTAATAAATTAAGGAAGCTTTCAAAAAAACATTTATTTCTATTTTCAATCCAGTTTCAATTTAAATACAATTATAAAAAGATGAAAAGATGAAAATAAAAACAAAATTTAATTAGGTTTACTTGATACTTGATACCAGGACTTACCTTTTAATTAAGATTAAATTGAATTCAAAGAATATATGCCACGATTAAGGCAGCAGTATATCTTTGAAACTTCAGATATTATTTATAAATGGGTCGTAAAGTTTTTAAGCACTCCACTCGAAGGATATGTGCGTTGGGCCGACTGGGCTGTGCGACATTTTTAGCACACGGCTAATGTGTTTTGGCTGGCGCTGATGTGGATGCTGCAGCAGCACTCCGTTTTCGAGCAGGACGCAGGATGCAGGAGGCAGGACTCAGAAGGCAGGATGCAGAATTCAGGGGAATGGCCATGCTGATGGAATAACGAGGGGCTTTGCGGTCCACTCCAAACTGCACTGGCTCGCTGGACTGACTGATGAGCTGGCCGACCGAGTGTCGCCTCTGGTTTAGCTGTTTGCTGATTTGGCCAGCCATTTTGCCCCAACCTATTCATTATAATCAGGCCTGATTATGTCTGCCCAAAAGTCAAGCGGGCCAAGTCAATTTGGTAGTTTATTTATTTAACTGGCGGCCAAAAGCTGGCAAGTTGAATGTGTATAAAATAAAAAGTCATAAAACTGAACCCCGTTAATCCAAGTAGTTGAAACACAGACCCTTTTTTTTTTGTTGGTTGCCGCCAAGCAGATGAAGCGGTTCGCTTGCCTTTATTTGGATGAAGGCAGCCTCCCTTTCCCCTTCCCCTTCCCCTACCCCATTGCCCTTTTTTTCGTTGGCGATGACGATGACAAGGGTGCTTTGCCGCCTCACTGACTAAATAAAATTGGAATTTATTATCATGATTTGTAGCAAGAAGAGGAAGCTTCGGCTCCGTTAAGAGACAGCAGCAAAATGGCGGGCATAAAAAGCACAGCCATCCCATCCCCAGCCATTCCTCCTCATCAGATCCGAGATCCCAGCTCTCTGACTCATCGTCGAATCCCCAACCGAACGCCTAACCCAAAGTCATAGACTTAGATAAGTAAGCGGGGCACTCTTAAATTTATATTCCCGAGCCAAGATTTAAATCGCTCTGGTCAAAGTTGAAGGGAACGCCTACTATTGGGGAGGCGGAGGGCGGAAGGGGGCGTGGCAGCCGCAGAAGGCTTAACTGTGCAGTTTCTTGCTGGTTTATTAGGGTTTTCCCGCAAGCTGCTAAGGCGATTTGCTTTCCCTGCTATTCCCATTGAAGCTGATGCAGCTGGCCACGGGCCGTATGCGCGATTTTGCTGACTGGTTTCTCGGCTCTTTTGTGGTAAGTGGTAGGTGGGTAGGTTGTTGGGTGGGTAGGTGGTAGCTGGTAAGTGGTAAGAGGCAAGTGGCTCTGGCAGCTTAAAGCTATCAATGAGCAACTGAGTGGCAGGTTTTCTAATTGCGGCTAGAGCAACGTGGCCAGCAGGATTTATGGGGTCTACAGTGACTTTTTAACTTAAATCTTTAAGAATTTAAGTTCTACAAACATTCCAAAACTGCAATAACTTCTTACTAGTACTGCCAAATTAAAATCTTTCATCATTCCCACAAGCTTCTGCCCCAAAAGCCTTGGTTTACATTTGCAGCTTGCAGAATCTGGCCAA